CCCGGCCGCCCGCCGGCGGCCTCCAGGGCGCAGCGAGAGGGAGCCGCCCTACAACCTTGGACCGGGGGAAGGGGCGGACGGCACGAAGCCGCTTTAACCGCAGCCGCCCAGTGGAGGCAAGAGGCTGAGCCGGCCGCTTCCTAAGTGCGGTCAGGCATCCCGTGACCGCGGCGGGCGCCGGGGGCCCTGCGGGGGACTGGGAGGAATGAGCAAGGAGCAAAGCTGGAGGCCCCTACCCTTCCCCCGGGCTATTGCAAGTGAGGCTTTCAGCCAACTTAAAACCCCAAGCCCGAAACTTGGGGTGAAGGGGGTTATGGAATAATTCCCCTTCTCTATGACTAGGCTTGCGCTGCGGGTCCGGAAGGGCTGACCTTGGCCGGTGAAGGGGGTTGGGAATAAACTCCGGGGCTCGACTCCCAGCCGGCCGCCCCCTCAGATTCCTGGCCCGGCAGGGGCTGGAGGAGCCACCCCCCCGGACACACACACACACACACACACCCCACACGCAGCGCGCACCAATGAGCCCGGGCCAGGCGCTGGGGGCGGGGTTTTCCCAGGCTCGAGCACAGCAGCTGCTATTTACCTTCTTGGCTTCTCCCGGGGACCAGGAACCAGCCCCCGCGCTCCGCCGCCCGCCGCCGTCCCCCGCCTCCCTGCCCCCGGGGCGCGCGCACACACACTCACACACGCACGCACACACACATCCTCTCGGCTAGGCCGCAGCCGCGGCGGCAATAAAACATCCTGGCACGTGCTCCGGCTCCAGGCGCGCCCTAGCCGGCCGGCTGATGTCAAACTGCAGCTCGGCTGGTGCAGCTCTTAAAGGGCCGGTGCGCGCCGGGCGCCGAAGTTACTCCGGCCGCCCGCGGGGTAGGAAGGAGAGGACAGGTTGCTGCCCGGTCGGCCGCCTTTACAAGCCGCAGAACCGAGAGCTTGGGGGTGGGAAGGGAAAGGGTGGGAGGGCGCGTGTGTCCCTGAGGCATTGCTATCAAAGCCCCTCTTGTTCATCTTTCATTTGAAATTCCATTTCCTTTCTGCTCAGTTGGAAATTATTCTGATTGTTTCCTAGGAAAGCTCGGGGTTTGAGGCCCCAATCCTAAAATAATTAGGAATGGAGTGAGAGGGAAAGCATTTTAGAAGCACCTTGTTCTTAAAAACTTGCAAATGTAAGGTGGAGGGCTTTTTCTCTTTTTCTTCTCTTCTTCATGCAAACGCCAGCTTAACGCTGGATTGGCTTTCACTCTCCTGAATATAGAAAAAGTCTGAGCGGGAAATCCCTTAGACGTTTCAGTAATTCACCCCTTGCGCGCATTCCCCTTTAAATTGCTGCTAATATATTTTATCTCTACTCTTCAAAAATAATTTAAATGGGTTTCTTATTGCAGTGAAAGAAGTTCTATTCAAAATAGAAAAGAGACTATAGAGTAGACTTCAGTGCTAAATGAAATAAAACTAGACTAGATCAAAATCAAAAGGAAAAATGCCTTATGCAAAGCTCACAGGGAGAGTAGCAAGGGTTAAAATCCTTTTGATTGACGTTGTAGCCTCTGGTGCCCCGGGCTCAGGCGCGCGCCATTGGCCGTCAGGCCTTGCGCCTCGCGGCCAATGGGGGGGCGCGGTCCACGAGCGGTGCCGCGTGTCTCCTCCTCCCATTGGCTGAAAGTTACTGTGGGAAAGAAAGTTTGGGAAGTTTCACACGAGCCGTTCGCGTGCAGTCCCAGATATATATAGAGGCCGCCAGGGCCAAGGGAGATCACACAGGATCCGGAGCTGGTGCTGATAACAGCGGAATCCCCCCTTTCTACCTCTCTCCTTGGTCCTGGAATAACTCTACTGATCACCAAGTAGCCATAAAATATAATACCCTCAGCACTTGCTCAATAATTTTGTGAAAGTCTCAAATAAAAGGGACATAAGTAAAAATTTGTATGTGACGGAGTCAAAATATATAATTCTCTAGGGATTAAAAAAACTACAACAACGAAAATGCCAGCTGATATAATGGAGAAAAATTCCTCGTCCCCGGTGGCTGCCACCCCAGCCAGTGTCAACACGACACCGGATAAACCAAAGACAGCATCTGAGCACCGAAAGGTAAGGGCGGTGCATGTATCTCTCCGCAGTCCCCAAGAAGTGGGTTGGGGCTCCTTTTTCCCTTAAAACTTGGGTGCAAAAAAGGCAGTTACCTTGAAAACTCAGGTTTCTTTCTTATTTCTTTACAGTCATCAAAGCCTATCATGGAGAAAAGACGAAGAGCAAGAATAAATGAAAGTCTGAGCCAGCTGAAAACACTAATTTTGGATGCTCTTAAAAAAGATGTAAGTGGGTGAATATTGCTTTTATTTATTTTTTAATTAAAATGATCAATATAACTGCACAGTGGCCAAGAATGAAATCCACTCGCCGGTGGGGTCTTCCCTGTCATCGGCTGGGTTATCTGACTCACTAGAGCTGGGTCAGGGATTTGGGTGCCGCAGTTGGGGGAGGTGGGAGTGCAGCCCTCCAAGGTCGTTGGCAGGGGTCTAACTTTCCTCCCTTGCCTCCTCCTCTGTGCAGAGTTCGCGGCATTCCAAGCTGGAGAAGGCGGATATCCTGGAAATGACAGTGAAACACCTCCGGAACCTGCAGCGGGCACAGATGACGGGTAAGGACGGCTAGCCGAGTCCCCTCTGCGGGCGTCCCTCTCACACCGCGCGGTGATTTCTTCCAGACTTCCGCCCGCGGTTGTGAGAGGCATTCAGCTACATTTTACTGCCTTGGCTCACGCTCGCGTTCCCACGGTCTGGAGCATATTTATAGCCACAACTCCAAGTTGTTACTGTTCCGGAAAGGGAGGGAGAAAGGTTGCAGCCGCGAGGGTGGCGGGCAGCTTAGGTGTAGGGGAAGCTAGTAGGGGCGGGAGGACTTGGACCACTGCGGTTTGCAGCCTCTTGGAGTCTGGGATTCATCTGGCTCAGCACACACTCCCCCCAATTTACTGGGGGATTGAGGCTCCAGTGGCAGGGGTCCGTATTGTCCAAGGTCACTCTATGCGCGTAGAGGGGGGGGGTGTGCAGGTGTGCGGCTGGTTTAAATGGAGTGAAAGGGAGTGGGGAGTGAACAACTCGGCTTCAATCACCTCGCTTATGTGGCGAAGAGGTTGGTTTTTCTAAACCCACCCGAGTCGGAAGCAGTTTCGCGGGCCGGCGGTCAAGGAGGCACACCGCGGGGACCTCCCAGGGCGGGAAGAGGTGGCCTCGGGGCCAAGGCCGTTCGGTGACCCATCTTTCTCTTTCGGACCTGCAGCTGCACTAAGCACAGACCCAAGCGTCCTGGGGAAGTACCGCGCCGGCTTCAGCGAGTGCATGAACGAGGTGACCCGCTTCCTGTCCACGTGCGAGGGCGTTAACACCGAGGTGCGCACCCGGCTGCTCGGCCACCTGGCCAACTGCATGACCCAGATCAACGCCATGACCTACCCCGGGCAGCCGCACCCCGCCTTACAGGCGCCGCCGCCGCCCCCGCCAGGCCCCGGGGGCCCCCAGCACGCGCCGTTCGCGCCGCCGCCACTAGTGCCCATTCCCGGGGGTGCGGCGCCCCCTCCCGGTGGCGCGCCCTGCAAGTTGGGAAGCCCGGCCGGCGAGGCGGCCAAGGTTTTCGGCGGCTTCCAAGTTGTGCCGGCTCCTGATGGCCAGTTTGCCTTTCTCATCCCCAACGGGGCCTTTGCTCACAGCGGCCCGGTAATCCCTGTCTACACCAGCAACAGCGGGACCTCCGTAGGTCCCAATGCAGTGTCGTCTTCTAGCGGCCCCTCGCTCACAGCGGACTCCATGTGGAGGCCCTGGCGAAACTGAGGAGCCTCAGGCCACCCCTCATAAAATCCCCAACCCACCTTTTTTCCCACTGGACCCTAAAACAGGGACTTGGATGCTGGGAAAGAAAGAGGACTTTTGTGATTAAGTGATTACTTTGGTTTTTTAATTTCTAAAAAGTTACTTTTTGTAGAGAGCTGTATTAAGTGACTGACCATGCACTATATTTGTATATATTTTATATGTTCATATTGGATTGCGCCTTTGTATTATAAAAGTTCAGATGACATTTCGTTTTTTACACGAGATTTCTTTTTTATGTGATGCCAAAGATGTTTGAAAATGCTCTTAAAATGTCTTCCTTTTAGGGAAGTTTATTTGAGAAAATATAATAAAAGAAAACAGTTGCAGATTTTTATGTCTTAGAATTGATTTTTTTCAGAATATGTGAAGAGGTCCTTAGCAGAACTTGAACTACATGTAATCTGGGTTGTTCTTAGTTTTTATATGTAATTGGCTCTTTTGTCATTAAAAAAAAAAAGCAACATTTTATCAAACTCTATCAACCCTCTTACACACCCTCCACAAACTTGAAGATTCCTGAACTCATGAGATAAGGCTTCCCTGATCAATGTGTGGTCAATCTCTTCAAAAATTTAAAACGTTTTAAAAGTTGCGGTTGGGCAAGTCATTCAGTCCTTATAACCAGCTTTTTTTTTTCTGAAGAACGCAGAATGAGACGAGTTCATGAAGTTAATCAATCCAATCCGATGGCCCACTGTACATTAAGGGCGGATCCTGCTGTATTACTCCTGTGGGGTAGTTTACCAACATCCAAAGTAAAAATATTCACGTAGTTACTGCCTCCTGCTTTCTAGTGTTGGGGTCTTCATTAATTAGCCCCCCATTAAGTGCAGCTAGGCATTCCCTTTGCACCAGCATTCAAAAGTTTAAAATGCCTCTCTGCACCCTCTTCAGGCAAGCTGAGAAGGTCAACAGATTCCTTCTGCCAAGGGACAGCTAGTTAGACTCCCAAGTGGAGCCGGAACCCAGATGATTAACACCAGACATGTGTTTTTGATAAGTTTCTGTGCTTGGCTCTAATAGAGAAAGCATGTGGGGCCAGCCTGACAGGCACACAGGCCATCTTCCCCTTTTAATACAAACAGCAAGCGACCCCTTCCCTTGGTCATGCCCCATTTCCAGGCAAGATGTGGACTCCAGATAGAAGCAAAAGGGTTGTCTCAGGTTTCAGCTCACATAACCCTCCTTAACAAGTCCTAACTCAAAGCGGACAGCTTTAAACTGTGCCAGGATCTGCAGGGAATTTCTTCCAAATCCCATCACAAAGGCTTGTCAGATTTTGTCAGATTTGGCCAGGTGTTTGACTGCATCCAGGTGTTGGGGAAATGAAAACCACGAGCCCTGCGAGACCAGACACATCAGCCGTGCTGTGGGTCTGGCGGGCGTGCCCTCCTCCCGCACCGCTGGCCAGTCATCCTCCCCTCCCTCGCCTCTCCTGCCGTCCTCCTCCCACCCCTAACCCCCTTCTCTTCTCAGAATGGCTTCTGAGAGGAGAAGGATGAGGCGGGAGAGATCAATCTTTGAAGCCTCCTAACAAAGATAAAGCCAACGATTTTCTGTCTTGTTTCAAAAGCTTTACCTCTCCCCCGCCTTGCTCAGGCCTTTCCCACAGGCCAGTGTGAAGAGCAGCTCTATCAGGAATGATCTAGCAGACAGCAGTCAGTACCTTACCCA